CCGAGCACTGGCGCCACCGTGGAGCCATCAGATCGGGGAGGAAGACGTCGCACGCCGACCACCCTCGCGGACCCGCCGCACGCCGAGCGCCGGCGCCACCGCGGCGCCATCAGATCAAGAGGAGGAGCCCGCGCCTCGCCTCCCCGTGCAGACCATGCCGCCGCCATCACCGCAGCGCCACCAAAGGGGAGCCCCGCAGATCTGTCGGCGGCCCGACCTGCCGCCGAGCCGAGCGCAAATATCTAGTGTTCTGCATGTAAAGTTCGGTCGATAAGTAAATGGAACAGGTAAGCTTTGCACGTCAAAAGAGCAGCGGCAACTTAAAATTACCTGTAACTCCAGTTTATTAAGGCTCTTTAGCCGTTCGATTGTTCGAAAACTCTCCATTAAATCCTGGGCTATGCCAGTTGACTCGAGTGGATAAAGTTTTCTTCAGAACTGTCTTGCTGACATGGGAGGTCAGCAGTCGGGGTTTGCGGATTGCACAGTTTAACGAAAAAGGGTTCCCCGCTTTGTATTTCAAAGCAACCAACACCGAGTACAGAGATCGTTGTGGCGAGCAACACAACACACCAAAAGAAAAAAGGAGAAGAAACAAATGCCAACTACGGCAGCTTAGCAAAGCGCGGATGACCCGCCACCGCGGCACCCACCGGATACAACCCACCACAGACCGAGGCTCCGACCACCGCATACCAAGCAGCACCTCCAAGAAGGAATACGACGCCGCCGACGCTGCTGCCCGGATAAGTCCTAGGGTTTCCCCTGTACGCAGAGGGAGGTGGGGGTGAATACCACTGACACCCTCCAGGAAGGAAAGGTGGCACCCGCAGGTGTCACCGCGTCGGGGCCGAAGCCGGCAGGGATTTCTCCCGCATTCCAAACCCAACCGCCCAACCGGGCGGAACCGACCCGCCAAACCGTCGCCCACCACCATGCACCAACGCAGTAGCACCGCCACCCACACCGCCTTACTACGAACACCACCACGAGGCCAAGAGGACCGGAGAGAAGCGCACCACGACGGAACCAGCACCACCGATGCCGAGCGGGAGGGAACCACCTCCACCGCCATTGTGCGGGAGGCTCGTGCCTCCGGTACCGTCGCGGTAGCCGTCCGGACGCGGTAGCGAGGCATGCCGGGCCACCCCTGGCCCAGCCAGGCCCGAAGCGGGCCCGTTAAGCCCCGCCGGCCACGATGCAGCAGGCCGGCGTCGGCGCCGCCAGCACCTAGCCGCTCGTCCCATCTCCCCCGCCTCCCAGAAGCCACGCCGGAGACCATCCCCGCCGCCGGCCCGCCCAGGCCCAGATGGGGCCCAAAGGGCCCAGATCTGGGCCGAGCGGACGACGCCATCCCGCCGCCCGGCCGCCAACGGCGGTGCTGCCGCCCAGCTGCTCGCCTGCACACGCCACGGAATCCCGCCGCCGCCTAAATGCACCCCCAGGAGCATCTCCGCCCGTGCCGGAGAGCGACCGGGAGGGGAAGGGCAAGGAGGCCGCCGCCACCAGC